ATTTTTCACATGAGGTTTCTTTAGAAGCCATTAAATCATATTTAATAGTCTGCACTGCATCTAGAGAATCAATCTTAAGAGAGGTTCTATAGTCAGTGACAAGTGTATCCATTAAGTTGAATGCACTTTCCACTAATGGGCCATGGAAGCAGCTAAGGCAGGCTTTGACCAATTTAGCCGATGTAGGCTACTTATAATCATTTGTGAAATCATCTTTTAAATTAAAAACTTTAGACCAATATTTATCAATTGTACACTTGACTTGATTTCCACTTTCATCAGATGTGTAGAGCATTTCTTTGGTGATATCAATATCACTCTGGTATAACCTTATTTCAGCTTCTACTTTTGACTTTTCATTATCACTAAAAATATGGGACATAAAAGATGATATTTTTTCAAAAGCTAATATTGTACTGGTTTTACCTCTTAGCTCTGGATCTAATGCTGTAAAACTAATTAGATATGAATTTTTAAGGGGTAATTTCTGTTTTATATGCTGTGCTGTATTAGTATAAGCTTTCATCAGAGAAATTTGGAATTCTTTTGCTATTGGATAATTTTTTGATAATTTCTTCAGGAGACTGGAAGCTTCTGCACCAGTAAATATTACTTTGTTAGGTAGATGGAATTCTGGATTTGTGACATCAACCTTTAATAAATCATTATAAGATGTGCACTCTATATTTTCTGGCTTCATAAAAAAAGAGAAAAATTTTGCCATCAATTTATAAATACTGGAATGTATTAAATGAAGCATTGGTTTTTCTGTTTCAAATAATTTAATATATGTGTTGAACTCTGGTAATACTGCTGAATATAATGCCATATGCAATAAAGTTTTTGTTTTGCATAACAAATAACCCATTTAGTATTCTTTTTTTTCCGAGCTAAAGCATCCTTTGTAAGTTGTTGGGAATGCAAGCAAGAATACACCCTTTCAACAACTTTTTTCTGAGCTGCAGAAATATTTCTTTTATTGTATACAGTTTCAACATAAGAAAAATAATCCCCTTTATCAGCTTTATCCAAGTAGTGAAAATAAAATGCAATAAGAGCATCCCACAGATCTTTGATTCTTTCTAAAACACATAAAATGTACACCCACCTATGGTCTGGTCTCTTAAAGGGCTTAAGTTTTTTAATAGCAAGGGATTCACAGATTTTGAAAAAATTTTCTCTTTTACTGCAGCTTTTCATATCAAAATAGATGTCATCAAACAAATCTTCTAAGTATCTATCAAAACATGAAGCAAATTTTTTTGCTTTTGCACAGTTATTAGCTGTGTGACATGTGTCACCATCAATATCTAATAAGTGGGGTGCTTTGTTTGATCATAGTCTGGTTTCAACACCCTTTTTTTTTTCCACGCATGGTGTTACATGAGTCCATTAATACACTAATTAAGTTTGCCCATGGAATATTATTATCTTCAATAGTATTAACAACTGCTTTAAAAACAGCTTCTGAATTGCAAGATTCCATCTTTAGAGATGCAAAATGATGAATTACAACTTCATTTTGATTGTTGTCATAAAACTGCACCAATATTGCCAGTATACTTTCTTGAGCATTGCTAGTACTTTCATCCAAATTTAGAGAAAATGGAGTCTTCTTTAAAGTTTTAATGATATTTTCCTTAATAGTTTTTGCGAGCCCAAATTTCATCTTATAACATGCAGTAGTCCTGGACATTTCCAACGAGTTTAGTGCCGTCTGATCGCGGCTCAACTGTTTGCAGAGTTCAATTAAATTGGGAGCTACATTGAAAGAAAGAGAATTCTCGGCGATAAACGAAGTTATTAATACCTCTTTGGCGTGCTTTTCTTGTCACTATATCCAATGGCCGAGCATCAGTCTCCAGTAAGTCATCAGTATTTTTTGAATTAGCATAATTACTTAAAGTCATTGAATGTCTAATGCCCTTTGAATATTTTATGTGCATCACAGTTTTAGAATGATTTGTGAAAGCTTTGAATCCTTCCCCACCATACTTCAGCATTGAGTTACAAAAAACACAATATGCTTGTCCAGCAACATTTATTTTCTTGCACCATGTGCCGATGGTATCCCCATTACCATCTCTCCGTTCAATCCAATTCCACCTAAATGCATTCCAGACACCTTCTTCTAATTGTATAATATCACTATTTATATCGAGAAATTTCATAGTGAAATTCTCTTGCGTACATAAATAAAAAACTATTTCAATAAACGAAACGAAAAATTTACACGTGCATCAATAAATGAAACGAAAATTTTACACAGCGGAGAAAAAAAAGTTGAGAAGCGATCAATGACAAATAGCTAATACGGCGAAAAATCCCCCCTTCTCTACTTATTGGCACCATGCCAGGAGAGATAAGACCTTTGAACCCAGAGTCATGTGACGCACATCTGGTCGAACGAAGTCTCTCCCTTTTTTTTCTGCCGCGTCTACTTGCTGAAAAGAATCCAGAAGAGAATGTCCGAGAACCGGGGGAATGAGTCATAACTCGCAATAAGGAAAGAACAGAAAAGAAGTTTTTTTCCCCCTTTTCACGCATTATTACTGCCTTTGGAGAAAGAAAGGAAAAGTTTTCACTTACACACACTGACCTTGTGTTTTCTGCTTTCAAAGCAAACAAAATTACCTAGATCAAAATAAATAATTCATTATTATTCCTACTTCCTTTTGAACGACGATCCCCGGAACTTCCGGGGATCAAAGTTCAAAATCCCTGGAATTCCGGGGTTTCCCCGGAGCACAAACACCCCTGATTATGGGAAAAAACTCAAAGCTAAACCTCTCTAAAAACAGACATTTATATATGGCAGTTATCCATTCCATTTTCTCATACGCATCCCTGGCATGGGCGGCGGCCACTCAAAGAGATCTACATAAATTACAAATTCTCCAAAACAAGGCCCTGCATTTAATGACAAACGACAACTACTTTGTCTCTAATGAGACACTTCAGAGAGACCTAAAAATCGAGCCTGTTGAAAAATTCCTTCATCACACCAACAGCAGTTTCTTCGATAGAGCAGTCAACTGCCTGCCTGTACCTTGCTCACTTCAACAGGTTTGATTATATACCAGACCGTATGCTGCACAATACTACAAGAAATAAAAATTTCCCTACTTAATTATGATAGTTCATGAGCACTTTGTACATATGTATATTATTTATTTTGATTGTATTTGTATTTTATTATGTACCTTTTTTTAATGTATTTATGTATCCTGTAAATAATTTTATTTTATTTTACTTTCTGTGTATTGTTTTAGTTCACATGTACATGTCACGAACAGACATTTATTGCGCGATATCAACCTCTCTCTAGACTTTTTCTCCCCTTGTGACACATGGGCACCCCCTCTTACCTACCTTTGACACCTCCTTGCTCTGTCCGGTTTCTACCGTCATGTGCCCATGTGGCGAATTTGTCACTGAGCTGGACACATCGTGCTCTGCGCGATATCCCTGAAATACCGGCATGAACGAAAAGAGGAAATGAGTTGACAAGTTTAATTTATATTAAATTCCAGATATTCGTTTTACATTGTAATGGTGTGAAAACTGTGATATAACAAAAAACCCATTTCGATTATTTTACCTGTGCCATAATTATAGGGAAGCTGAAGGAAAGGCAGTCAACACCAGATGAAGTATGAGAAATCACAAATGGGCATATTTTACAATTAAAGAAAATATGTTTAAGAAAGTTTGTTATGCATCAAAGGTACAGCAGTGATAGACAGTGGCGTAGCTAGGGTGGGGCAAGGGGGGACATCTGTCCCCGGGCGCAGCATCCAGGGGGCATCAAATGGATGCTACGGAATTTTTTAATGAATTTTTTCCATTCTTGGCACATCAAAAGGGGCGCAAATTCTTCAGTTATTCCCGGGCGCTGGAAACTCTAGCTATGCCCCTGGTGATAGATTATGCAAAATAATATTATAGAAAATAGTTGTAGCACATAAGAAATATAACAGAAATAAAATGGCTGCAAAGCTGCATCTGCAATTAGAATATCACACCATAGCATATCTAGGCACTATAATCATGTTTGCTTCTATGTCTGTACAAGAATGTTGTTAAGTTCTACAGCAAGATAATAGTAAGAAATATTGATAGTTTCATGAATTCTCTAAGATTCACAAGTAATAGCTTGATGTAGTGTTCATAGATAAAAGGAGATTTTGTTTGTTGTCCAATTCTAGATAGCAACATACCTGTCACAAATCCTGCAGTTCCTGATACACAGAAAATATTAATGAAGCTGACCTTATGAAGTTGGCTCACAATGGTATGGAATGGAATAATAATCAATGGATGCAAAGAGCTGCTGATTTTGGCAAGCACTTGCTTAGAGTTACTGCCAGAATATTATTGTACTCTCCATAATTAACTGTTATTGAAAATTTACTCATTTTTATGAATGATAATATTCAGTATTATTTTTCATCCTCATAATTAATGGTCTGTGATAAAATTATACAGAAAAATAATTATTCTGACCTATAATATACAGAACAAATGTGGAATGATTTTGGTATGGGCACTGCAGATAGCAATAACCTTAACAATTACAAAACAGAATTTGGGCAATGAAATAAGAATGGCGAATCAGTTTTTAGTATTATCTAGATAATACTTTTAAAAATATGCAGAGTTAGCACTAACTATGTATTACAGACAACGATAAACACTGAATAAATATCATATTAGAGTTTTTTCATGAGATTATATACCCTATTTTCTGTTCTTGACTAACGATCAAATATGGTGGTTTTGCTGCTGTATATTAACTTCCCAAAACTGTATGCTCTCTATGCACACACATTTTAGTTAAGTTTTGCTTTTATTCAATGTTAAAATATTTTCAACAAAATCCTCTCCTATTTCGAAAGAGACTACACATGGCTCTTAATTTATGGATATTAGAACATAAAATCAAATAAATTACCCCCAAAATATATCGGTTCTAATTAAGAAATAAACACTATACTTACACCAACCACATGAGAGTCCAAAGGCCTTGAAATAATCACTCTGTTAGATTCTTCTGACTGGAGGAGAGGAAAATTTTTACAATTTAAATATATTAACTTTTATATTAGGAACACACACATGCAAAAAAAAAAAAAAAAGTTTTCAGATTAGATATTATGCCCAAAGGGGCTGTTTTTTAAACGTTTGGATGTTACCTTTATTTATTAAATATCACATTCTTCGCACTTAAACCACAAAATTAAATTCAACAGCAAAATCACAAAATAATTTTAAAACAGCATGTCTTTAGCATGTCCGATAGACAGTCTCACGTGCTGGAGATAATTTTTTTTTTCCTGTACATTGTTGCCATGGCTATCTTTGAAATCAAAAACTCATAAATGCTTTACAAAATGTTAAAAAGCTAATAAAACAAATTCCAAATTTGGCTTCTACATGCCCATATTGGGATGGAGACGTATGTTATTCAAAATTTGATGGCTCTAGGTATGTTGTTTTATTATAGTGCGATAAACATACATACATTTATGCAGATTCTTCAGTATTTAATTTTTTTAGACATAATACACGCTCAAATATCTGGTGGCAACAATTTAAAAAGTGATTCGCCATTTATAGTGAATCAACACAAAATGCTAAAATGAAATTAATAGCTCTTCTGAGCTTTAAACCCTTTGGGATTAAAAAATAAAATAAAATAATAATTATAATAAAAAACAACACTTGAAGTTCATGTGAAAACACTTTGAGGAAATGTAAAAATTTCATAACATTCATAAATAGACTGCCAAGAAATTAAATTACATGTATAACAATAAACATTAAGATTCATAACACCTTTTTCATACCAAATAAGAGGTTTTCATGTAATCTAGATCTATACAATAGACATACAAAGAAATTATATGATTATGTTAAGAATGCCTTCAAACCCAAGTTTAATATGAAAAAAGGAAAAGCTTGGGACTATTTTTTTTTCCTTTTTTGTCTCAACAGTTCAATTAGAATGACCACTGTTTCATTTGTTTGCAAGAGTAAATCAGACTAGCAAACAAATTCCGGCAACTTCTCATTGAATTTAATATTTGTTTCTTTTCTTCTGACAAGTTAACACAATTGCACTGAGAACCCCATTTTTCCAACATCATTTTCCAACAACAATGTAAAAGGTTACAAATAGAAACCAATATTTATAAGGTTCTGGGAAAATGTGTTTTTAAGAAAAACTCCTTATTGCATATCACATTTGCGAGTATGATATGGCATAAATTAGTAACTGTAATAATGAAACCCTTGAGCAGAAATCTGCCCCCAAAACTGCATTTGTTATACTTGAAAATAGGAGAAATGATCTTGATGCGAGCAAAATGCAATGTAGGACAATGAAATTTATCATTATACATGCACAACTTTAAATTTGGTAGTAAAATTGAATTCTGAAAACTTAAAAAAAAGGGAGGGGAGGGGAATTTAAAGAAAAAAAGATGATGTATGATGCATTGAATTTCCCTCTCAACATGCACAATGTAAATCTAACTGTAACTGCAAATTCAATATACTTGAAAACACGAAATAATTCCAAGAAGGTATAGCATTATCAATGCATGAGTAAGGTTTTGAAGCTTGTGCATTATTGTTTCTCTTCCTGACGAAGTCTACAGGAATGCACAGTAACATGCCACACTACTTCCACACTGTTTCAAGACATTTTTTTTCTTAAAATGAAGTTGCTCTCATCTGGTTAACTGATTAAGACAAAAGACATGAGGGTTATCCACCTAAGGTGAATGATGTCTCTGAAGAAGTAAAAACATACTTTATTGAAATTTTTGTATGAGATGAATTCTATAACACCAACTAATTCCTTTAAAAAAATCATTACATGTATTTTATGTTTTGAAAATTTTAAGTTATAAATTAGCAATTTTCTCTCAAAACTAAATTATTTACTTTACCCATAAAATCTGACTGCTCATAAGTTTTAGTAAACCTGAACATTTTATTTATCATATTTTATTACAAAAAATTTAGATATTACAGGAACAAATGAAATTTTAATATTTAATAAAATAATAAAAAGGCACACCTCTGTGTAATCTGGGAGAGATACACTGGCACCTGCATTAGGGACCCCATACTTTCTTAAAGAAGTGATATACTTGAAGCAGTTTTCCTTTGGCAAAGTAAGATGTTTTTCTATCTCAGTTAAAAGCTACAAAATATGAGTAAATTATAAAAGCATTAAAATATTAAATTATTGAAGATTTCTAAAAGCATGAAATACAAAATGGGCCTGATGCTTAAGGCCTTATTTTTATATATAAATAATAATTATCAAAAACACAACAAAGCTAAAAAAAAAATAAAATGCTGTAAGGTTCATAAAAAAGAATTATTGAAGTTTTAACCAACCTTTTTATAAAACAAGGGAGCATTAAAACTACTCAAAATACAAATAGCAACAGGAAGCTTCACACACAAAGGATTTTTGTGCAATCCATTTTGTGGCCAGCCCTAGAATAAAAATAGAATTAATATCCTGGCCCAAGTAATTAAGCAAAAATTAAGCCAAGAAGAAAGTTTCCTTACAAATCAACTCTTAAATTAATAATGTAGTTTGTATGAGAATCAAAAATTATACTATATGCAAAGATAAATATGAAACAAACTAGAGCCAAAATGAAAAACAATGAACAAAAGGATATTCAAATTAAAAGTAATAGCAAAGGTTTATATAACTGGTGTGCAAAAATTAAGGATGAAACAGAGAAATAAGCAAAAACGTAGAACAAGGCACCAGAATAGACCAAAAGATCAATCAGGAGATAGACTTGGAAGGAAGAGAGCTGGAAAGGGTGTTGCACACGGCCGGTTATCCTCAGAAGTTCAGTGATTTCTACGACATTAATTTGCTACTACTGTGCAATATGGGCAATTCAGGAAACAACATTTGGATGACCTTACATCAGGTAGTGTCATTGGGAAGTTGGAAGAAGGTCAAATGTGGCAAGTGTAGCAGAGGAGTTTGTGATTGCCTACAGCATTTTATGAGCCTGGAAAGCCTTTGAAATGGCAGGAACAGCTGTTTAAGCATTCAGCAGTGGTCATGCATGAGCAACAACAGTGGTGAACAATTAGCATACTGTCCTACTGTTGAGAAAAGACAGGCAGCAGGGGATATCGCATTTTAATGTGGCCAGAAAACTACACATATATATCTATATGTATCAAGGCTAGTACAGTGTGTGCCATTAACGCCTGCCCTTAAGAGATGGTGGTTTCTGTTGTTGTAACTAATCTCCATGTCTAGGAATATACTAGATGAGGTGCATTAGTCCATTCACCTCCAGAAAATCGAAAAGAAGCTTACGAGACTTGTAAAGGTCCTCAAGAGACAACTCAGGCACTCAGGAATATGTGCCGGTGATGCCGGTGCATTTTGACATTTAGAACAAATTTGGTGCATCTTGAGACCTCTCTCAAAAGTAAGTCCTTTCAGGTGTCCACTGAAGAATCGGGAAAGTGTTGTCTGAACACATCTAATCGCAATCAATAGCAAGAGATCTTCCAGGACAATCAGCTTGATACCAGGGATGATTTGGGAAAACGAGCCAAATTTGCCTGTCTGCATGTCTTCTAATGGAATATAGTTCAAGATATGTCAATGAATTGGTAACTGGTAATGGTTCTACAGAACCCTCCTTCGCCAGAATGTCTGCTATTTCATTCCCTCATATGTCAACATGGGAAGGAATCCATTGAAGGTGCACTTCACAGAGTGATGAGACCTGCTTAAGCTTGCTAAGAATTGCAATTCCGGCCCTATCACCAACTCTTTGCCAGTTTGAAAGATATTGGATGGCACTACGACTGTCAGACAGAAACCATACTGCTTTAAGATCTGTAAAGGATGAAACAGCGTTTAGTCCCTCTTCGATGGCTATAAGCTCACTCCAAACCAAACTGAAGTCAGAATTTTTTTTCTTTATTTTAACAATATTTCCATTTGTGCATTTAATGACTATAACTCCACTACCAGAACGAGAGTCCTCACATTTACTCCCATCAGTATAGATAAGGGTAGCTTCAGCGGGAATTGCATGTATAGTTTCTAAGGCAGATTGTCTTAACAAGGCAGGAATATCATTTTTCTTGGAAACTCGAGACAAAAGTTCCATATGAAACTCGACTCGAGAGAGTCCCTCAGATGGATCTAAACATTGTTTCAAGGAATGCTGTTCAACATTATGATCAATTATAGCAGCATACTCAATTTGACTAAGTGGGTTATTTTTCTGAAGTCTCTGGTTATTACTCCAGTGCTGCAGGGATTCTGAAGTTCTATTTTGGCAGCCATAACTGAAATGTTTATTATAATATTTTGCAAAGCCAACATTTCTTCTTAGGCTAAGGGGTTGAAGGTCTGTTTCATACAATGCAATTTTATTCGGGCAACTGTTGCGTAGGCCAGTTATAATACAAGAAGCACTAAGTTGGACTCTTTCTAATTTCTGGAGGTTGGTAGAAGAGGCACAACAGTAAATGGGGAAAGGTCGTATGATAGCTGAAGAAGTAGTTCTCAAAGTGCAAGCATCAGCTTCCCAATCACGTCCCGAGATATACCTTAAAATGTTTAGTCGTTTTCTGCCCCTAAAAACCAGTGCATCCACATGTTTGTTACTAGTGATCTCTGGATTGAAAACGAAGCTCAAATATTCGGGATGGTTTCTGTGGTGTCAGGAACACAAAAACTGGACACAACAGAAGTAGGTTTGAGTGCACTTTACAGAGGAAAGCCAATTTAGTCTGATGAACAATCCTGGACATCTATAGAGTACAGAGTCTATAGAATGGAACATGGAATCACTCTTCCAACATCACTGAAAAGGAACTGCTTCGGAGGTGCTGGAGTTCTCATTTGAAGTGGTATCATGCTAGTAGCTGTACTGATCTCAAAAGGAGGTTTGGTCACCAGTGTCTACTATTGAACAAAATTTTTCTTGACTCGTGTATGCCTGTTTAGAGGTGCTGTGGGTCTGGACTTCCTCTTATGGATAACAACACTACACTTCATAATACAGTAGTTGTCAGAGAGCTTTTGGAGAGTGAAGAAATTCAGTGCTTGGCTTGACCTGAAAGGTCCCCACACCTAAATATGGAACCTTTTTAACATGAAACCTTTTCAAGAGATGCTTGGCAGCTGCCAACAAAGAATCCACAGTTCAAATTGGCACTACACAAAGAATGTGCAATGATGCTTCAAAAGCTCCTTGTCTTGCTGTAATTTCTGCATCATAGTTAAGGACCCCTTCTAAAGACTGGATTTTCTTTCCAAGCACCTGCCACATGGATGTTTCTATCTTCTCTTTTGTCCTGTTTGGAGCTATCTTTTTAATAAAGTGTCTCATTATCTTTTTTTATTCCTCGTTTGGATGGTTTTGGTCAAAATACCACATTTTCACATCTTTGGATTTGGGGATCCAGTGGTATGATTTGGGTTGATGTGGAACACTTCTGCATGATGTTTCAATCAAAAACCTCTCTCATCCTCAACTTTTGCACATTAGTGTAAGAGATTTGAAACATTCTGTATTTTCTATTATGCTAATCAATTTAAGTACCTGAAAATGTGTGTTCTGTTTTTCACCGGTTTCAACTGCTATGCTACATTTATGACAAGGATCTATCTGATTTTCTTTTAACTCCTCCTCACCCCCCCCAAAAAAGAAGGTTGCCATATTTTTATAATTGAAAATAATTAAAATTTCAAAATTCTTTGATGAAAAAATGTTCATGTAAGCTTGATTTTATGGAAAAAACATATTTAGCAGTCAAATTTATAAAAACATTTAGCAAGAGCTTGAGCAGCACATATATTTTACTAACACACATTTTCAAGTAAGACCAAATCAGTCAATTATCTGCGTCTGAATATTACTTGTTCATAAACACTAAGGGGTTAATAGCTGCATACAGTACATTTGCTGCAGGTTCCTTTACAGTTACAATAATGTCATAAAAATGTCATTTCAAACGTGATATCTATCACGATATTTGTATTTCTGTAAGCAAAATTTAAATTTATAACAGTAATTTATAAGTTAGAGTTGAATGACATAAACAGGCAAAAAATACATTATTTTATTTTCAGCTGGCAAATTAAAATTATAGTTAAAGAATTATAAGCACCATATCTGTCATACTTAAAATTAACTGCAAGTAAATACTGGTCTTTATGCTATGATTAAAACACAGAACAGATGCATGATAATTTTAAAATATTTGCTTATTTCGAAAAGCTACTGTGCTACTTTCAAAATACACATTTTATATTACAACACATTTTCATACATACCACAGGAAAATGAAGCAAATGATGACCAGATACTATTTTTATCATTGTTATTTTCTGAAAACCTTGTAAAATGCAAAGAATAATTTTCACAGCCCTCCCTTTTTTTTAAGCATTCATATATGATTCACTACGTATACCAATTATGCACTCTAGTGAACAACTTTACAAATTTCAAAACAGAATTGAATTTCTTCTGAAAGACCAGATATTCTACAGATATAGTCTGCAACTTTAGAATAGGCACTTCAAGGTTATTTCTTTCTCCCCAAACCAGGGCAACGACTGCTGTAGGAGAAAGGTCACATCCTCTAATTTGGCATAATCTTCTAATAGCTTCTGTGCAGTGATGATGACCGAGGTTACATTCATAAATATGGGGTCGATCGCTATAACCTTGAAGTAACTATTTTAAAGTAGCAGGCTATAGTAAATACCAGAATTAGATAATGTTTGCAATGTTTTCAAGATAAACCTATATTCTTCATCAAAAAGATCTTTTTACAAACTGCATTGGGAATAAAATGTATTCCTGAATAAATATTCAGAAAATTTAAGCTTATATCAAAAATGCTATTTATAGCTAAGATTTGAAAAAAAAAAAAAAAAAAAAAAAAAAAGCTTTATATTAATTTTTTAGCTAATTATGGCAAAGCACTCAAGGAATTACCTGTCCTAAATGAGAGATAGCTTTGAAGACATATGAAAAATTGGAAAAAATAAGGCAAAAACACAGGAAAATTTATTTGGAAATATCAGCTTGAAACTTCTTTAAATGCAGCACATTACATTGCTTTAAACAAAAGAAATTAAATATAGAGGGTATTTACACATTTTTAGAAAAGAAAAAGCAAGTAAGAAATGAAAAAGAATTTTAAAAAAGCATATGTTTAGGAATAAGCATTTCTCATAACAATTTATTATTTGAAATGCGAAATAACATCTGCTACTTTTAAATTTATTCTCCTTTCAAAATGTCATATGTACACAACTTGTGGATTGAAGGATATGTTTTTGCACTTTCCAAAGAGAAATATTCCTATTTCATAATTCAAAAACATTTAAAAATACACGGTATTAAAATTTCTAAGTGCAAAACATGCAGTATTATTAATTGGAAACTAAAAAAGTCAATCATTACTTCAATATAGAAAGAAGGAAAAGGTACATACCATTTCTAATATTTCTAAAGTTAAATTACGGATAATAAGAGAAAATCTGTCGATGCAAAAACCAATTGCATCGACAGTTGTTAAATATATCCATAGTAATAATAAATAACATAATAATCAAGATTTACAACTTAAAAAGCTAAAAAACATTATGTTCACCAGTTTTTGTCAAGGTATGTGGCTCGACAAAGAACAATTTATTGAACCCTGGATAAAAACTATTTAGTTGGAGATAAATAGAAATACTTTGTGACCCTTGATGAAGGTTTACCTAAATGAGTGCAATGAAAAAGTATATTTATTATTGAAAACCAAGCAGGGGGGGAAAATAACAAACCTGGTTCTTTAATTGCGAAGGAAAATCAAGGAATGTAAAAGAAAGGAAATTTCTTTATCCTAATGACTTTCAAAGAGTTAAACTTCAACAAGACAAGTCATACTTCAAAAAGTACCATTGCATTCCTTGAAAAAATGAAGACCGATGCAGATATTACCTATATACCTTTTCAAAATATTCATGAAAAGTCCCCTGACATTTACTCATGGGTCCATGAATACGGCTAATCTCTGAAAAGAGACCTTTTTAAGAGCAAACCCACCCTGATTGATGGACTCTGGAAAGTAACGAGAAAGGAATGGAAATCAGTATCCCCAGAAATTTTTTGAAAAGCCTTTCTATTGTGGAAATCATGATGCAGACTTATAGTCCAAAATAAAGGCTATAAGATCAAATATTAAACACTCTTTACATTTTAAAATGATTAAAATGCCATGAAAATTGTTATAAAAATGTTAAACTCCTTCTGTATATAAAAATAATCATCTACTTGTTAAAATTTTGAATTCGTCTATCAAAGAAAAGAAATGCAGCCATATTCTTGCAACAAGGGGGAGGGGGGATATGGGAATAATTTTGATATGTTCTTTAGACAAGATAACAATGTGTAAAAAGAAAATTTCTTAAATATTTTAATGAAGCTCTATCAAAACTCAGCAACCCCAGAGGGAAACTCCTAAAAACACAATTACAAGTCTGACGGGTAAATTTCCAGCCACAATATTTACTCTAAGAAAGTTATTTCAAACATGGTGTTGCAAATGACACAGACAGCCAAAAGCAAAACAGAGGATGATTGGAAACAGTTTTCCAGCTACAAATGATCCATAGCACTATCCAATACAGATATTCTGAAGCCTTAGGCACATACGTCTTTCAGGATCCTCAATGTCCCCTTTCTAATTGATAAAAGAGAGTTACGAGCAGTTACAAGATGATCTCTACCTATAATCTAGAGACTTACACGCCTAGTCTAGTTCATCAGGTCTTCAGTACCTGACATCTGATTCCAGCTCATAACTGAAGACTGTAATTTGCAGAATTCCAAAAAATGTTGCAAATATTTTGAATTTCAAAAATTTTTGATTGAATTTAGCAGCAGCTTCAGGTTACTAACAGCATATTAATTTAGCCTGAAAAATCTAACGTAAAGCATCAATATTGTAATTACAGCATTTCATAATGTTAACTTTGACCTTTTAAAACACAGGAATATTGATAAAACATCAATATTTGCTACAGATCAATAAACAGAAAAGTTACAGCAATACCAAAATTTAGAATAGAACACTGTCCATATTGCAAAACAAATTCAGAAACAAGTTCTGATAGCATTTCAGAAATTACAGCATCACTATAAATATGATTAAAGTGCTAATGATCTATTTTTAGTTCAACAGATTACCAATTCAGGAAATTTTATAATAAACTAAGAAATATTTTTTAAAAATTCATATAAATATCTCAATTTTCACTATTTAAAAAATTTCATTCTCAGTATACAGACTATGTAATTATTCCATAAAAAATTATAATAGCTTTCAACACAGCATAAAAATCAATTTTCTCCCCTCTCAAAACTGACCTGTATCCTCAGACAATAACAAAATATTTTCTCATCTTTATCAAGAAGAGAGAACTGGAATGTCTCACTGTGAAAGAAAGCAAATTATTAAAGTAACATAATGGCAAATGAATCAAAAATCATTAAAATGCTAAGTTTTAAAAATCTAATGAATAAAAGATATTCAAATATGCAAACAAAACTCATATGAAGGCTAATATTTCCATCAGCAAGTAAAAAGAATTAAATTCTTTCAATTATGAAAGCAGCAGGGAAAAAAAAAAAAAAATTAACTTTTCCCAAAAGATACGTAAAGTTAAAATACTTCATAACAATTTTGACATATTTATACTTCAAGATTACATTTAAGTCTTCTCTTTTCCAAAATGAGCTGATTTCTTCCGGCAGTGAAATATTTGGTAGGGCAAAAAAGTAATAATAACAACATACCAGATCCCCCCCTTTTTTTTCATTATACAGGATAAAGTCCGAAATTCGGATGTCCAATATCTCGACCGTCAATCCAATAAGTAAATAAATACATAAATAAAATTTTTAAAAAATTCTCCTCATTGCTTATGAGGTCCAGGAATAAAGAATACTAAAAAAGTTTTAAAAAATTGTGCTGTAAATGCTATTTTTCTCCCCAAGAGTATTTCCAGTATGTCATATTCAAACGCCAGCTGGCTGGGGAATTGTGCTGTGATCATTGACAATGAATTGATTCACATATTGTTTTTAGTCAGGGTCATAATATTGGCCATTGAGTGGTTGCGATGGGGGGTTGGCATTTTTCTATCTGACATGAACAATAAGTGAAGCTTCTGTGTTGCCATGTTTATATGTCAGATTACCAGATTTAAACTGGTGATCTAAAACCCAGAAATTTCCCAACCTGAAATCAGCAACGTTTCAAGAATTCCAGATCTTAGAATTTAAACAATGATAAGTGTTTCCTTAGATTCTAAGAAATAAATGAAATCCAAGTTAGTAATCACACATATTCTCTAACAGTAGGCTATTCACAAAACTAATGACTTAACAGTACTTTTCAGTTTCGCCGGCACAAATCTTGCCAAGCAGACTTTATTGGCGACAACACACACTATACAAATAAAAAATGTCAACAAATATTAGTTCTAAGAAATTTTTATTTTGAAGATATAAACATTTTAATATTGCTTAAAATTTTGTAAAAAGAGAATAAATTTGTAAAAAGACATTAATTTTAGGATTTACTATGCTTTCATGGTACAACATCCTGATTCGCAGTTTCTAATCACGTTGACCCCAAGTGATCTCATCTCATGTAAACTATGCTACAAAAATCTAATTCTCTCAGTAATTATCTACATTAATTTCAAGTTAAATCTTAATTTGGAATTCAAGTTTAAATGCAAGAATTGTTTCAATTCGTACGAATAGCTTACTCCGAAATTATGTAAAACCGCAGTGCTTTACTAATGCTAGTGCATTCTGATTAGAATTGATGAATTTAACCCTTAACTTTGCCTTTTCTATATTTTCGCCTTCGGGTGAGTGGTGTGATTGCATCCTAATTGACTTGCTTACCATGAATGGCCTTGGGGTATAAAATTGAACTATCTGGGTAAAAATTCTATGTAATTGTATACCAGTATTGAAAGAAATAATCAATCTGATAAGAAATGGCTGCGACTTGTTTCGAAAATGAGGCGTAAAAGATTACCAGCGAGGATATTTCGTTTGGTATCAGTTGTACCATTTTTGGCGACTTTATCGCTTGCGCCGGCAAAATGGAAAAGTACCGACTTAACATATGATAATGATTTATATCTCCACCCCCAATAAATTTTAACTGATTAGTAGGAGCTAGAAAATTTAGCATTCATGAGGATAGAATGAAGGGGAAGAAGACTTCCAATTGTCACCTCAAAGATGAGTTCATATTAACTTCTTTTAAATATTTAAAAAAACTAGAGTAAAAACATCATAAAAGTTGAAAAAATATTCTGTACTAGTTACATAATAAACTGCTGAAAACAATTAGGGGATATTGTGAGTTAAAATAACCATATAATCGACAACTTTTTTAAAGCTAGATCAGTAGCCCAGAGAGCCACTGATCATTTAAAGACAGTCAAATGCAATCCATTGTAGCAGAAGCACTAGGAGTTTCTTAAAGCATAATTTTCAGACTACAGAATCAGTTTTTGAAAACTGGAAATGTTTGCCAAAGATCAGGACAAGGTCATATGCCTGCAACAACACAAAATGAAGATTGGTATTTAACACTAACTGCAAGAAGAAACCTCACTATGACTAATACTTTCTTGCAACAGCAGTTTCAGAGGGCTGCTGGGAGTTTTGACTCAAACTGCTTGAAACTGGTTCCACCATGTGGGTTTCTATGCTTGCAGACATATGGTTTTTGCTTCATTGACATAAGCTATGTACATAAGCATTGTACAAGCTCCTGTGTACACCATGCTGCCTGCAGAAGGTGGGCACAGGAGCATCTCGGTGGAGAAACATACTCTTTATGGACAAGTATAGCTTTTGTGTACAATCTGCCAACAGACAGATTCTCATCTGGAGAGAGCCTGGTATATGGAATACTCCAGCATTTTGTGCATGAAAGTGTCCAGTTTGGCGGAGGCAGAATGATGGTTTGGGCCGGTATTTCTATCACCACTTTGCACTATATGAGGATTGTAGTCCCTTATACACTCAAGAGTCAAAACATTATGACCAGCCCTACATTTTGCGATGAACGCGCCTGGATGACGTGGAAGGCACGTGATCAGGTGGAAGTGGTATTTAACTGCTGCTGGAGAGTCTGAAGAATCATTCTTTCACTTACTTCTGTGTGGAATGGAAAAGGCTGCAGATCTAAGCGACTTTGATAGAGGGCAGATTGAAATGGCTTGAAGGCTCGGAACAAGTATTTCCGAAACTGCACATATCGTGGGTTGTTCGCGATCTACAGTTGTTAGTACGTATGAAAAGTGGATGAATGATGGTGAAACCAGCAGTAGACGACATGGTGTTGGACGTCCACACGCTATCAAAGAAAACGGTCGTCGGAGACTGTCTCGCATGGTGAAGCAAAACCGGAGCCAGACAGTGGCTCAGCTGACAGCCGAATACAATGCAGGGCCAAGTAGAAACGTATCGGAGCACACTGTTCAGCGGACTCTATTGGATATGGGGCTACGCAGCAAATGTCCCACTCGTGTGCCTTTGCTGACCAAGCGTCATCGCCAACTGCGCCTGCGCTGGGCCCGGGAACATTGCGACTGGTCCATGGATCTGTGAGAGAGAGTTGCCTGGTCAGATGAATCACGGTTTGTCATTCATCACGCCGATGGTCGTGTCAGGATAGGTCGTCTTCCAGGCGAACAGTTGCTCCCTCAATGAACAGTAGGTCATATACAGGCCGGTGGTGGCGGTATTATGCTCTGGGAGATGTTTTCTTGGGCGTCTTTGGGACCCGTGGTTGCAGTAGAGCAGACCATGAATGCTACAGGGTATCTGAACATCACTGCGGACCAGTTGCATCTTTACATGGCCTCTGTTTTTCATCTGGAAATGGAATGTTCCAACAGGACAATGCCCCGTGTCACAAGGCTACAATTGTGTTGGAGTGGTTCCAGGAACATGATGCTGATTTCCTGGCCGCCTAACTCATCGGATCTCAATCCGATAGAACACATTTGGGATGTCATGGGATGGCAGCTCAGAGGTCAAAAACCACCAATTCGCAATATCTTGGATTTGAGTGTCCATTGCAACAACATCTGGTACAATCTATCTCCGGCCATCTATCAAGGACTTGTGGCATCCATGCCAAGATGGGTTGAAGCTGTGTTGCGCGCCAAAGGTGGCCCAACTCGTTATTAACAGGTGGTCATAATGTTTTGGCTCTTGAGTGTATAGTGCAGAGCGGTGATAGCACTATATGAGGATTATATGCTCTGCACTATACGAGGATTGTAGCAGCAATCAAGGATGAATTCATTCTTATGGATGATAATGCCAGCCACATCGTGCTCAGCTAGTGAATCCTTCGAATGGATTGGCCAGCATATTCCCCAGATATGAACCCAATAGAACATATTTGGGGAAGGTTGTTAATCATTTTTCACCATCAGATTTAAAAGCTCTCTTCTACATGAGTGAGAGAGAATACCCCAATCCCTCACTGATTCCATGCTTCATAGATGTACGACATTGCTTTTGGTCAGGGGAAATTATATCCCTTACTGAAACTCATTCATATCAGAGAAATCACATTTTTTGTTTGTTTGTATAATAGGCACAAATTGTGCATTTTTTATTTAATGACAAATATCATCAATAAAATTTAAATATTCCTTGTTTGTTGCTTCTTTTTCATACCTTACAACACCTATATATCACACATCATTAGTCACCAAAACTTTTCCTCATCTACAGTTTATATCCAAAATCATAATATCCTCTAATTGTTTTGAGCAGTGTACAGGGCAATATAGTTATTTTTATTAATTACAATAAAGTTGCTTACATTCATAACAGTTAATAGTTGGATATATTATGAATTAAACATATTTTAATTCATATCCATTAGACATTATTAAAAAAGTAAAATAAAGACTCAAATTATTAAGAAGAATATTTATTGGTTTATATGCTTAATATATCAAACAATAATAGACGGATCACTTCTCAAAGACAAATTAAAGATTTAACATTTTACTGAATGATAATGTTCTCAGAATCAACTACATCGCAACACATCGAAGATAAATATTTCATGTTCGCACAGTGGAGAGCCAAACGCTGCTTCTAGGTTCTTTCTGTTCTCATATAGAAATTTTTGAACATGATCATGACTCAGGAATTTATTTTATTAGAATATAATTTTGCATAACTAAAAACCGGTTATTATGTAGTAAAATACCTTTAGCAAGGTGTGAAAAATACAAAAGCGATTTAAAGCTAGATATTCTTTATAAAGCTAGATATTCTTTATTCCTCATTTTATAACTCAATTCATAATGTAAACCTACTACTGTTTCTGTACAAGCTAATTTTATCATATTTCCTTTCAATATAGTCCAAGAATGAAACAACAGTTACAATATAATTATGCATTATAATCCATAACTACAACTCTAGAATTATTTGAAAGAAGTATATGTACAATTGATTTCAAAAGATTTTATGTATATTTAAACACTTTTTGCCTGAAGCACATTCAATTCTGAAAGAAAAGAACTTCAGTTTAGTTTGGGTGTAATCTGACGACTCATTATATACAGATGCTGATCTAAAGTACTTACTAATTTACATATCATAAAATACTGCGACTTCTTCATTTGCAGAAATCACATTGCAAGTTTAAAAGATTAATTTTACAAGACAGAAAAGTTCCTAAATACTGAAATTTTTCCCATAATGAGTTATATTTGAAATTTGTTCATTAAAGAAGTCAAACATCTTAACATCTTCTTTGTTCTGGGGTATTTTGTTGGCACCAAGTGTCACCAGTTTGGTTTAGCTTCTTCTTTGCTTGTCAGCAACTGTAATTATAACCATCCCTTTGGGACTGTTTTTTGCCTAATATACACATTTCTTTTTAATGCAATAAGCTTAATGATTTAGTACTATCCCATTTCTTCGAAAATACTCTTCACAAAGAAAAACTAAGTTCAAAAGACCACATCGTGGAATTAAAATATGACTTGAAGACTAAATGGCAATGCAGTCTTCGTTTACGTCACAAGAAAAAGGTTTTCCAAAGCACACGTGATTTGTTAGAGATCATACATTCTTTTCATTACTACCATAAAATTCATTTACTTATGATGTAAAGCGTTATTATTTATTGACTGTTGTGGATCAAACAAAAATCAATCACAATAGAACAACTGATTACACAATTACAATACAACAACTGAATAATAATTACACGAGAGCAGATCTTTGTTACCCTGTCCTGTCAAAATTAATTGATGCAACATAACTGTGGAAATTGATGAAAGATTATTCATACAAAGAAAAAAAAATAACGCAGGCCATATTCTTCTCCCAAAAAAGGTTTTTGAATAACACTGCTGTGAAATTAGGGAAGCTTTTTCTTACTGTTCCATATCACTCAATTTTGTCTAGTGTGCAGCCAAACGCTCGAGGAGAAAAATAAGCCAGAATGCACACTGATCTACAACACCAAAAATGCATGATATGCATCGCTTTAACAGAGAAACATTTATTTTTTACACTGAAAAATTAAAACTTAGATAACTTTTTCTTTTTTTTTAATACGTAAGGCAAAAGAAGAAAAAAAACTTACCTTTGATAAACTGACACAGATTTTTGCATCTCAGCATCAGGAAAACAAATATGAGGTAACAATGGATAATTATAAGTTTCAGAAATCTATGTAAAAAAGATGCATATTTAGAAAAATTACAGGGTTTAAATTCTGAAATGGAAAACTTCTGCAAGTTTAATATTAAATGAAAATACTCTACAGTTATCTTAAAGAAATAATTAAATTTATCAAAAAGAATACATTAACTAGAATATCAAACAAGATTTAATTTTAGTAGATACTACAAAGATTATAAAATAAATCAGATGTTTGCCTATGATCATTTCAAATATTTATGCATTATGCATATTATAAATCCTTAATTTAAAAACCACTTGAAACACTGGATAAAATAATTCTTCATTACCACTCATTAATTACTAAAATTTATATTAATTATTGACATTTTCATGCAAATTTATTTTCTCAACACAACTACTGCACCTAAAAAAAAAAAAAAAAAAAAAAAAATCATTGTAATCTTTTTTCCTCTCTCTCCCCCTTTTCAAAAATAAAGATTGAGATTTTACTTTCTTGAATATTTGCATTTTTATTAAATCTGCAATATACTGACATGAAAGAAGATTCCATGTAAATATGCACACCTTTAAAATCTTGCAATTTTTAGAATGACCTGAATATGCTAACTATCAATGAAGGATTAATGACAAAAGTTTGACAGGAATATTATTAATTAGCAGCTTAGACATGCATTGCAAAATAATAAAATATATAGCTAGTAGCAAAAAAATGCAAAATTTAGATTCATTTGATAAAACATGGTGGCTGGTTTATAAATGGTGAGATGGAAACAAGTGATATCACTTAGTGTAACCTTCTGAAGACTGTGATTGTTCTATGAATATTCCGCGTAACATTCCACAGGCCCCTCAGATTGTGATTCAGATATATGTTATCGAAATGGTCCATGTCCAAATAGAAAGCACAAAACCCACAACAGAGAATCATTTTGTTGTTTGAATTTAAAGTTGGATATTTTGTGTGATTTATGATCAGTAGCATTAATGCAGCATTTAGAGAAAGTATGCTCCTGAACATACTATGCACTTAAAGGATATGCAAAATTCCATTCTGTGATACCATTTTGAAACATAAAGTATCATAGTCACTGAACTACAGCAATTTCAAACAAACTTCTGAAAAGTGTTGAAAACTGATACATAATAGACTGTTCAAATAAAACTTTACAAGCATGAGATGCACTAGAACACAATTTTTTAGATATACACATATCGTATAATAAGATACCATGCAAAAAATTCAAATACAAAGTGCATAAAATAGCTTACTTTGATTGGGAAATAAAAGGACACTTCAGGTTGGCAATTTGAGAAATTTATAATGAATAGTGATTCATATAACTTTGATGAAATGCAGATGCTAGATGATGATATCTAAATTCAAAATTGAATAGTAAGTTTCTGAAAATTTATATCATACAAGTGTCAAAAGTAAACTTATTAATGAGAAAAACTTATAGCATTCTAACTGAAATTAAAACATGCACACATCATACTTCATAAATAAAGAACATATTATATAATACATATGCAAATTAAATGTTAAAGCTTCTCATTGAAAAAATAATAAAAATTAAATACAGATAAATATCATAATTCAGACAGATATAATTAATTCTGATTCATTGGGACAAAAAAGGAACCATTATATTTTGACTCGGATAAATGAATAATCAAATTAATCATAAATTGATTTTTTAAAGTCAAATAACAACAAGATAATCTAATATCAGGCAAAACCGTAAACTATTTTCTCTAATAGTTATCTAACTACCATGGTTTTTTCCAGATGTTCATGAACATCTAAGTGAATTATTTAAATAACATTCATTTAACTAAATACATATAGTTACTTATTTTATTCATAACTTTTTTTTTTTTTAATTTTCAGTAAGGATGTCAATATAACCTTAAAAGAGTAATATTTAAAATCATTATAAGAAATTAAAAAAAAAAAAATGTGGTACTACAGTCAAAAGTCTTTAATCCGGACTCGTCGGGACTTCGGCGATTCCGGATTATCGATTTTTCCAGATTATAGATCATCAGTTTAAATCTGGTAAGATGGCATGCAGAAATTATAAAATTAAAAATATAAAACCGTAATTTATAAAATAATGAGCAATTATGATCTAAAGGGTATCCAAATTTACCAAAAAAGAAGCCTAATATTTATTTGTTTACTTTATTAAACATTTCTTTTAACGCGTGGATGCGTAAAGCATACCTTACTCATAGCCGAAATTAGAAAATTGCAACCAGAAAACTATGTGATTTGTATTCGTGATATTTATAATGACGAGGAATTTGATTTAAATTATATCAAAGACGGAGTACATCGAAATTAAATACTACATTTAGTAAGGAATTATAAGGCGACTAAAATAAAAAACATCTGCCCTGAAGATAACGATAGTGTTGACAGATCAACTTCCAGTTCATTGCGCGCCCGACGTGCCCCCCCCCCGCGCAGAGCAGCGTGAAATTGATAAACAGATTTTGGAACGGTTAGATAAACAAAGGATATGCTTTTATCCATTTTTGTAGCAATTCGTTTTTTGTTTTGATGGACATCGAAACATACTTTCGTTTTCTAGATCCTTTGGGAGCTCCAGCATCGGAATTCTATTTGACATAATCGAAAGTTCAAGCTTACTTTTAGAAAATTGCTCTTACAGTCTGCAAAAAATAATAAGCCGGATCCAATTTGAAGATTAAGGAACAACGCAATTATCAACATTAACTGAAATAGATAATTAGATAATTTTAGCTTTTACCGTCCGTTATACATTAAACGCGCACGCGAAAACGTATTCTGCACTTGCGCAGATGCATATGCGCAGTCGTAAAGGTCTTGCGCGCACGAGTAAAACGCCTATGCGCATGCGTCAATGCGGCGCATGCGCAGAAAGATTTTAGCTTTGAGGTCCGGATTATAGATCATTCCGGATTACGGGTGTCCGAATTAACGACTTTTGACTGTATCTGATTATTTTTACCTCCACTGAAAAGCTGTGAAGAAGCAATGATGAGGCAAAATGTCTTGTGGCCAAAATGATCTCTAATATGGAAATTTGAGCTTCTTAGCATAGCAGTGGACCATGTACTGCAGTTTTTTTTTTTTTTTTCGCCTTTGGCAAAATCTTGGACTTAGTTGTTTTCTGCACACATAGAGAGCAATGTAGCTCACATATATGCATCATGTGCCTCCTTTTTTTCCTTCTCATATTAAGATTTTGGTGCCGATGTCCCCCCTCCCAGTGGAAACAGACTGCTGTGTATGGCAGAAAAAAAGCATAAAAAATCGAGAAGTTTGCACATCTTGTATGAAACCAGAATAATGCTAAAAAAATAGGCAGCACTAGATGCATTGCTGATAGATGTAAAGATACTTGTAATGTCTGATACCTCACTCCCCCTGGTATTCGAGGGAAATAGTTTGTACAACTCCCTCTGGTGATTGATTGCCGCAGGGAAGAGTCAGTTAGGGTTTAGACAGCGTCGGAGGTGACTGCACGATTATCGCAGGCGTGCACTCATCGTATATCTTAATATGACTACACGATAATATGCAGGCGTGTACTCTCCAATTGACTTTAATTAATGTTAATCTTATGTAAATATTTTGTAATCTAATTAATACCTCTTATATATATATATATATATATATATATATATATAATTTATTTCCTAAACAGTATTGATTAATTGATTATATTATCTCCTAAGTTTAATTAAAGTAGAATTATTTTAAAAGTGTGAATCTAACTGGTAAGTTATATTTTGAAAGATGTTTTGAAGTAATTTGAAAGCAAAATGTTAATAATGTTTTAACGGGGGACTGGAGATAAATCATCCCGAAGAATAAAATTTCAATTGTAAAAGGAAAAATTAAAACATGTAATCATTGTCATTGATCGGAAATTAGTTGACTTTTTCAAGGGGAACAAACCAACTCCCGTTCAATGAACAATAATTGATAAAAATATGTAAATACGAAAGTGTTTCGTCTTTACTCGAGTTATAAGTTAAAGCCAAACCGGCAATTCTAGTAGTCAGGCCAAATATTTCGGTGAATAAGACAGGAATTATGAATCAATGCTGATATTCAAAGAACTTATTCTTATGAAGCATTTTAGTCAATTCAATTTGGAGTAAAAATCAATTACTGTAGAGAAATCCTATTTAACTAGAGTAATCGTCCCCGACACTTTCATGTTTATGCATTGAGTAAATATATTTGTAGAAATTAAACATTGGAAATGTCATTATGAAATCGAATTCAAAGTAAAGTTGAAATAAAATAGAAGATTATAAAAAAGATAAATAATGCAATCTTGTAAAACAAAATCAAAGACAATATAAAAATAATATAAAAAATAATATAGAAATATATAATAAGATCAGTGAATGTACATGAGATATAAAGGCCAGAAAAGATTAAGTAACTTACATTCTTTCTAGTGGGGGAGTTGGCAAAGTGTTCTCTTCGTGCTGACTCAGAAGTGTAGGGTTCCGAAAATTCTTAGCGGCAGTAGGGCTTTGAATAATATCAGTCGGTAAGACTTGAAGAATTTTGGTAGTGGGTGGGACTTGGAATTCTTGAGGGATGTATTTGTGGAGTTCTTATCTGGGAGAGACCGCTGTTAAGATTTTTTTGAGAATACTAGTGAATGGAAATTAATTAATTTTTGGCTAATTGTCGTGTTGCAATGATTAAGAATTTAAGAAAGAAAAAAAGGCATTTTTACTGTCCAAGAGCTAATAGACAGTCTAAAGGCATGAAATAGGCCCATTTTTTTTAGTAAACAGTATAGTACAATATATATATATATATTATATATATATATATATATAATATATGTGAGAAGAAAGAATCCCTTTGGATTAACAACCCCGGATGACAGCAAACTAAAGAACTTTCAAAATCAATCATCACATTGGTGTCAGAAGTCGGATCATTTGTCGTCGGGTGAGAGTCATCAAAGAAGATAAGAGGTAGGCAATAATTTTATCCGACTTTTTGATTTTTTCTTATGCATGAAAATAAGATAAAATGTTGCAGTAAAAGGAATAAGAAAGAAGATTTAATTTCTCGTGGAAGAATTAGGTCAGACAGTTCCTCCTAACTCAACAGTAGCTGATCTAAGAAAACTTATTCAAATTCTAAGTTCAGAATGTGATAATGATCCAGAATTCGTTACAGAAATTTGAAGGAGTATGGTCTCAGACAGGCTTAAACGTGAGGATCGAACTCTGGAACTAGAGAAATTAAAATTAGTGCATGATAATCAATTAGAACTGACTCTCAGAAAAATCAGACAAAGGGATAGTAGTCGAAAAGACCCTAGATTCCGAGACAACAGATGATGGAAGTCAGCGCCAGAATTGAAACGTAATGGAAACACCTTCGTTAGAAAGTGAAAACAACAGACTTATATCTTCTAATATTGAGGTAAATAATGAAGAAATTAAAGAACCAACGCCACGGGCAGAGAAACTGGAAAAGGAAAAATTGAAAGAAGAACAGAGGGAATGTGACGATTTAGAGACTGTCAGGTCAAATTTAAAGAAGGGGAAAGAAAATTTTCTTTTAATTGACGGTTTGATATATCATAATGACAAGGTTTCGGGTGAAAAACATTTGGGACATTCTCAACTGGTATTACCCGTGAAAAGACGGTCGAAAGTTCTTCAATTAGCACATGAATCAGTCTTCGGTGCACACTTAGGAATTAAGAAGACCAAAGGGCAGATTCGATATAACTTTTATTAGCATTCCATGGTTAAGGACATTGCGGAGTACTGTAAATCTTGTGACAACCAAAAAGGAATACATGAGAGAGCACCCATAACTCCAGTGTACAGACCGGATTTGCCATTCGAAGTCATGAACATGGATATTATTGGTCCTATCGATCCACCATCGGGTCGAGACATAAATATGTGTTATGTGTGATGGATCAGCATACACGATGGCCAGAAGCTATACCTATAACTCTTTGAGTGCTAAGTCTACGTGTGAGCACTATTGCAGATATTTCTAGGACAGGATACCAAATATAGCAAGCGATAGGGAACTAATTTTTCTTCGGCATTGACCCAGAATTTTTAGAAGAAACAGGGCATCCCGAGATTTCATGTCCAGGTCAGCAGCTGCAATGGTTTAATAGAACGATGGAATAGAGTCCTTAAGAATATGTTACATCATGTAATACGAGAAGACCCGAGAGGATGGGACAAATAAATTCCATTCCTATTATTTGCTTATGGAGAGGTTCCAAACTGCACTACAGGAGTGTTGCTTTTAAACTTCTATATGGAAGAGAAGCCCGTGGACCTCTAGCAATTTTAAAGTCATCTTGAGCGGGAGATATACCTTTGCCAGCCAATATCTCACAATCCATTGTGGAATATCTACAATCCATTGTGGAATCTTCTTTAATTGCTCTTCAGATAGGCAGAGAGCTTTTGCCGAATATTTTAACAGACGTTCTTCCATTTGGAAAGTCGACATCGGGAGCAAAGCTCAATAATGCTGATGCTTTGTCTCGATTACCTGTACAGGACTGATGTGCGGTAGTCCTCCTGATTATAGGTGCCATCATAGTGTAGATTCTGTGTGACTTTAAGCGACATTAATGGTGAACTAAGTAATTCACATCAGATTAAGTGGACACTTTATGTGCTTCTGTGTGACTTGAACTCTGTGAACTATATTGAAATAAGTGACGGTACAACTCTAATATACGCCCTAATTTCACCAAATGTGGCGATATGTGTTCTGCGCTGGTTTTTGGCACGATTGCAACTTCTATGGCAACCCTGTTCACGTTGAAAAATCTTTCGCTGGAGCTCGTTGATTTGCCTCTGTGTCTGAGAAGATGGGAGGGAAAGATAAAATGGTAGTTATTGAATTGAAGTTCGGCAAAAGGAAATATGATTGTGCTATCCTGTTGAGGGGTAGTGGGTATTTGGAAGTGGAAGAGGTCTGGGAGATTATTTTAATGGCAGTGCATGATAAAAGTAGGGATTGTGATTTTATTTATTGTGAACCATAAATAAATTTTCTGGATAGTGTGTCTGGGTGTCATGTAAATACGATAGTGATTACGTGGCGCATGTTAAGGCGCTATGAATTTATATTTGCTATTCAAAAACGCATTATTCATGGTAAGTGCATTTTATTTTATCCTTGTTCTTATTTTGTAGATTTATGTTCATTGGTTCTTTAGTGATTATGTCATTATGTTGTTTTTTTTGTTTGAATTGTTTGAAATTTATTTTGTTGTTTAGTGTCTAGACTGTGCATTCGTAGATGTTTTTAAAGGAACAGAACGCTGTGTAGATGGTATTATTTGAAATTTATTGTTACGTTATTTTATTAAAGCAAAGTGCGTAGATCGTAGATTCCTTCCTGCCTAAATTGTGCAATTCGTATAATTTTTTAAGTTTAAACAGGATGCTGTGTACTGGATTCTTTGAAATTTATGTTGTTGTGTTAATTTATTAAAGCGAGGTGTGCGTATTTGTAGATTGTTCGTTGCCTACATTGGCCATTCGTAGATGTTTTTTTAAGTTAAAAATGTCGCGTGTACATGTTTTGTCAAATATTTTTGGTTAGAAATTTACATTTTTGCTATCTAAATTTTTTTTTTGTTCGGATTTTTAGCTAAATTGTGTGTTCAAAACGTAGTTTTTGCATGGTGTAAAACCGCAGTTTTGGAGACATTTTAGGCTAAAAGTTCGAAATGTAGACAAAAAAATTTAGTAATAGTAATTGTCGCAAATTCTCGCCAAAAATTTGGCGAGAAATTGGCGACGAGGGCGCATATCAGAGTTTCCTAAGTGACTTTATTCAATATCTGACTAAAAACACTACTTAAAGCCCTAACAAAAACACAACCTCTCATTGCTATATTTGTTATTTAAATACCATATCTATCTTTTATATTTACAGGTTCAGTGGAGATAGATTTTCTCATATGGTTATTGTGTGAAGTATATTTATTGAATTTTTTAACATTTCAGCTGTGTGACTGAACTCTGTGAACTCGATTGAAATAAGTTTATATTATGTTTAGATATGTCATGTTGAGTTAGTGTATGATATATTTTGCTATGATTCTATGATTTATTAGAAAATTTTTTTATGTATCCATATAGATAATAATGATTAATATTATTGATAATTGTAATGATCAAGTAAGAAATTTGTATTGATAGAATATTCATGAATTTATATGAATTGATGATAGAAATATTTCAATGTATCAGACGATGATTATCAGATATTGTGATGGGTTTGCACACCAATCACATCTTAGGGGGGGTTAAATGTTTGATACCTCCCTCCCCCTGTTTCGAGGGAAATAGTTTGTACAATTCCTTTGGCGATTGATTGCTGCAGGGGAGTGTCAGTTAGGGTTTAGACAGCGTCGGAGGCGACTGCACGATTATCGCAGGCGTGCACCATCGTATATCTTAATAGGACTACACGATAATAGCAGGCGTTACTCTCCAATGACTTAATTAATGTTAATCTATGTAAATATTTATAATCTAATTATACCTTATTATATATAAATAAAATAATGTGTGAGAAGAAAGAAGTCCCATTATTGGATTAACACCCCGGATGACAGCAAACTAAAGAACCTTTCAAAATCAATCATCACAATACCCAAGCACAGGTTTTTCTCCAATATCACATACACATTGACAACAAATCTTATGAATGGGTTAAAAAATTAACACATTCAGAGGATTAAATAATATATAAAAGGGAATGAAGTAATAAGCATATCTTTTGCTTTTAAGTACTTTCCAATTTTCTTTAATACCAGTTATAGAGACATTAGGTTATTTCAAAGCCAAAAGATGTGAAAAATGAGCAATGCCCTCACCAGGAATTGAACTATGGATATCTCGAATACGTGCCGAGTGTGCTGACATCACACCACGAAGACATGCTAAGAAGGCAGGAGAAATACCTTATATACTCTCCCTTTTAAAGGGCAACTGGGAATTAGGGAACCTCATCGCCAAATCCTGGTGGTGGAGAATCATCATCCACATCTTTTTTAGTTCAGGCGCCACTGTAGAGACATTAGGTATTTTTTGAAAGCAGAAGAGATAAAAAATGAGTAATGCCCTCACCAGGACTCGAACCACGGATTTCTCGAATACACGGCGAACATGCTGATCTAAGAAAGCAGGAAAAATACCTTATACAGTATATTTTTAATGTTACTTTTTGATTATCCACACCTCCTCGCCCAAAGTCAGCAATCACTGGAGAATAATTTTTCACCAAGCTAAGATGCAAAAGGCAACAGCCATTTTCAAATGCTAGCATGCAAGGAATAGAATACAAATTTGTGCATTCTCAATTGTTAGGTAAAGTACCACATTTTAGAGATGCAATGCTTTTTTTCATCAGCCTGCAAACTCCACCGTACCATTACGATTGCTTCCAAGGGGGGAAAAATCATTCAGTGATTTCAATCATATTATTATCAATACATTTGATAAATACTTTTGAACATAAAGCATTTTAATCTAGTTCCATTAAATTAAAATATCTTTCAGGATATTTATTTAATCAATGCAACAAGCATTTAAAAAGTTATAAAATGCAGTTTTAAATAACTGGTGTTGGAAGAACTGGAGCAGAGTATTCCATTTAGTAGATGTGGTTTATCAAAATAAACAAAATTAACACATTCTAATAGACAGAATACCTCCAGTGCTTTTGTGTATGACGTTTAGTTGAAAGTGATTGACACATTTTTTCTGACATTCTACAAAATCTCTTTATTCAAGTATAACTATTAGTGTCCTTTCTGGTAACGCTTTAAAGGCTTTAACAAAACGAAAATTTAGGAGATATTAAAAAAATTTTTTGTAAACACATGACTACCTTTAACACTTTAAGCGCTGTTTGTATCCAAATACTCACAACATATATTTTGTGCATATGAGCCTAATGTATCCAAATAAATGTAACTCGCTTCAGACATAAAAATATAATATGTTTTACAAATATATTACATTATATTAGGGGACATTTATGATATTTTAATAGAAAAAAAGTAATGACCCCAAACAAAAACTTTTTTGCATGCTGGCATTCAATATGTTTACTTTTCTAACCTTTTATCAGTGCTTCAAACTGAGAAGTACATAGATTTTCCAGTCTGGCTCGTGATCCCAATTAAATGACATGTTACCCCAAACATGCAAAGAAAACTCTTGCTTATTATATTACCTAGAGATTTATTTTGAAAGCTCTTAAATCAAAATATGGTTGCTCCAATTAACCACATATCGCATTAACCAGTAAATGGAAATGAATGTATAATAGTAAAATTAAAATACACACACACACACAAACAAAAAAAAAAAAAAAGTTTTCAACACATTCAAAATTCCACAATGGCTTGATACAGCTTGCTTTATTAATATTACAGAGAAACTCTTTAATATTTTTTTCTACTGATAAAATATTAATGACCTATTCTTGAAATAAAAGAATAACTGTTGGATAAAAGACATGATAATAAATATCACTTTCTGTATGCAGTTTTAAACCTCATTAATCATATATTAAACATGCAAATATAATGAACATGAGATTATTTATTCTCATATTACTAAAAGTTCTTACAGGTAATTATGGTTGCAGAGACTGTTATAATTTTTGCAGCAAGAAATGTGAAAAATCAACTGTGGTCTTGCTGGGATTCAAAACACATACCTTCCAATTTGTAATTTCAGCATTTACAAAATGACAGATTACATAAGAAAATGTGTTAATTTCTTACACAGTAACTCGTGTAGATAAACCCTTTTTGGCCCTGATTATCAAACTTACTTTAGAAATTTAGGAGAAGACATTAAAAAATAAATACATACCTGCTTTCTCACAGATTTGACATAAATAATTCGATCTTGAATAGCTTTTGCAGATATGTCAGCATCAGATGCATCTAAAAAATAATTTTACATTTTATGAATTTGAAAAAATCAACAAATATATACTTAAATGATCTTCTAAATTACTATGAATAACCAGTTTATCACTATTTTTAAGAATTTTAACACTATTTTTAAATATCAAAACAAATACAAATAATTAAGTATACATAACTGAAAATGATTTTGTTAATCAACTAAATAACCCATTAAATTTTAATAGCTTTATTCAATATTAATAGCTTCGTAAAATAAAAAAATTCAGTAAATTTCATGTTCAAATGTGCAATAAAAATGTGGGAAACAGAAATGACTAAAAAACAACAAATTTTAGTGGTACCATCAAAAATATAAATAATAAAGCAGTAGATTGCATACGACATCATTATTGATTATTTTCCTACTATCACAATTAGAGAATTATTTTATTATATGAAGGTAGCTTCTTATTCCAACAGTACCTATTCCACAAATTATAAAGTTCTCTACCATTATTAAGTGATGAATGAGTTTTCTCCATATGTACTACTAGTTTCAACCAAAAATATTATAGCTTATTAAGTACACAAATCAAGATCTACATCAGCATTTTAAAACTCATTTTCAGATATTCTTTGTCTAGTTTTGGGGAAATATTTTAAGAAGGAAGAAAAGTGCATTATATTATTACTATTCATTAAGTAATAAGTGTCAATTCAACAGTACTTCATTTAAAGACATTTAGAATAAATTTAGATATTTTTAATAATCTTTCCCTGTAAAATAGGAATATAAATATCTAAATTTATTCTAAATGCATTTAAAAAAAGTACCACCGAATTGACATATTTTTGGGAAAATATCAATCAAAAGCAATTCACGATCAAAAGCAAATAATTTTTCTGATGGTAAGAAGATGCTGCTCCTCTCTTGAAAAGCAAAGAGCATTTTGACTGATTACACCAAAGAAAAGTAGAATTTTGGAAATCTTTAACAACATTTCTCTTGTATATAAAAGACGAAAAGCCATTTTCATTTTGTGGATTATAAATAGAAATGAGAAAGAATTAACATTTCAAGATAAACATCTTTTTTAATACGAGTTGAAATCACCAGAAAAATTTTCATTTGCGTTAAAAAATAACCACATAAATATCTCTTCTTTTATGGCCTTTTTGTTGTGTGTGAAAATAAATTATATTTACTTATTTATTTTCCCCTTTGCATATTTGCTTCCTATTGTATATGATTAAAAAACTTATTTACTTTCACAATTTTCTGAAATTTCTAAATCACAAGAAATTGGCCACCAGAAGAGCTCCTTATTTTGAAGCACCAACCATGGTATAAACAAACAAATACAAGTTGTGTAGACAAAGATAGCTCCCATGAATTGTTGCTTGCTTTTTGAAAGGTAATAAAAAAGAAAGAATATTAGCATTTTCAAATTTAAATTGGGCGAAAGTGAGTGACAGCACAGAATTGATGCAGCATGATTTTGAGCAAAAAATAGCACTATTTATTTTTATTAATTTACTTTTAATTTGCATTACTGAAACAAAACTTTTATAATTTTATCCCTTTTATAAAATGATACATTTTTTAAAAATGATACACCTGAAAGCAGTTCTACATTGCCCCTAAATAAGTGCTATGAAAGTTATTTTCTAAGCTACTTTCAGCATCGTGACCCTTGGTCTAACATGTGAGGTGAAACTAAACCATATAGTACATACATATGCGGTACATTGCATACACACATATGTGCTATATTGTATACATATGTTTTTTTAGGGCAGTACTGACAAAGAAATATTAAAACTACTACTTTCTAATGGCTCAAAACAATATTATTTTTAACAAGGGCAAGTCTTTCCTATGCCTAATGTGGGAAAAAATATTTAATATTATTTCGTCTGCTAAATCAGCTTGCACTTTAGAGGATGAAGTTATACCCTTAGCCCAAAGATGCAGGCTGATTTTAGGGCACATTTTGGAGTAAACACATTAATTGAAAATTTTTATTCTTAGACAGATTTATTTTTAATGACAATTTTCTTTTACTTGACCAAGAAAGAACAAAACAGATACAGAATCACTGAGATTACATCTTTATATTTTAAAACTAAGATTTATTTTTAACGAATACTTCACACTGGAACACAGATACGAAGGTTTATGCTACCATGTTGAAGCATTCTTCAAAAATAATTACAAACACATTTATTTTTGGATACATATTGAAAAATACAGTGCATAGTATGCAAATAAAATAAATTTCAAACGAGAAAGTGCTAGTCAAATGAGCAATGTCATATATAATGAATTTTCTGATCATTTAAATTATCATATACGAGGGTAAGTTGAAAAATAAGTTTCCCCTGTCGACTGAGGTCAGAGTTGTGTATGAAAGTCAAAAAATAGAATGAGACATTAAAGATATGACATACCTTTATTTTTCCACATAGGTACCAAGTACATTGAGACATTTGTCATATCACTTGATAAGCTTCAAAAAGCCCTCCAGGAAAAAATCAGGGCTTTGCATATGGAAGAAGTGTTGAACGGCTTGTTTCACTTCAGTATTGCTTCCAAAGCGCCTTCCCCCGATATTTTTCGTGGGATGGCAATTGATGTTACCATGAAGATGGCAATGACTTTCTGTTTCGGATTGTGACGGGGGATGAAACGCAAGTCCACCATTTCACGCCAGAATCGAAGGCCGCATCTATGGAGTGGAAACATCCGTCATCACCTGTCCGAAAGAAGTTCAAGACAACTCCCTCTGCGGTAAAGTGCTCCTCACAGTTTTTGGGATGCCAAGGATTTTGTTGCTGGATTTTTGAAGATTGGAACCATCAATGCTACGCGCTACTGTGACACCCTGTCGAAATTGAAAGAGGCGATTCAGAAAAAGCGGCCTGGCCTTCTCACATCTGGCGTTCTGCTGTTGGATGACAATGCCAGACCACATTCGGCGACGGCAACGCAAAACCATATTGCAACTCTTGGTTGGGAGCGCCTACACCATCCGCCATACAGTCCTGATCTCGCACCAAGCAACTTCTATCTGTTTCCGGCTTTGAAGAAAAATCTCGGGGGAAGGTGCTTTGGAAGCAATACTGAAGTGAAACAAGCCGTTCAATGCTTCTTCCATATGCAAAGCCCTGATTTTTTCCTGGAGGGCTTTTTGAAGCTTATCAAGCGATATGACAAATGTCTCAATGTACTTGGTACCTATGTGGAAAAATAAAGGTATGTCATATCTTTAATGTCTCATTCTATTTTTTGACTTTCATACACAACTCTGACCACAGTCGACAGGGTAAACTTATTTTTCAACTTACCTACGCATAATACATTTTCTTCCACAAATTATTCCACTGATTTCAGGCAGAAATAAACATGATTCAGTGATCCACCATTCTTTTTGTATATAACATAAAACAGTTCCAAACAGCAAAGTCGAGAAAATAGCTAAATATTTTCTTACAGTTGAATTTTGGATGATTCCTTTTGTTTCAATTATTGGGAGCTTTTTTTGAAATGAACTGTGCTTAGAATAGCAACTGGTCTTGCCTTTCAGAAAGAGAATGTTTCTCTTTTGAAAAAGCTATCATTTTCCTCTTTTCTAGTTTTTTTTTTTTTTTTTGTTGCTTACTTTTACAGAAAATTTTTATGATTCAGTCATACAGTTCCATATATGTCAGTTTTCCTCTTTATTAAATTTCTGCCAAAACAAGAGAATTGTCAAATTGTCAACTATTACATAGGCATTGTAAAAATGACCATCTAAAAATATGAGAATGGATTGAGAGGTCATTCCCAAATCTTCAAATTTGAGCAAATATGCTGTCCCCACCCCCGATGTAAATGGCAAGATTTAACACATAACCTGAAATAACAAGTACACACATAAAATAAAAAGTTTAATGCCGAAGTGTGCTCTTTTGAAGAGAAAAAATTGTTTCTACTCAAGTCTTCCTTTGAACATAATTGAGATATTTTTGGTACAACTCCAATATACACCCTAATTTCACCAAATGTGGCGATATGTGTTCTGCGCTGGTTTTTGGCACGATTGCGTGTTCTATGGCAACCCTGTTGACGTTGAAAAATCTTTCGCTGGAGCTCGTTGGTTCGCCTCTGTGACTGAGAAGATGGGAGGGAAAGATAAAATGGTAGTTGTTGAATTCAAGTTCGGCAAAAGGAAATATGATTGTGGCTATCCTGTTGAGGGGTAGTGGGTATTTGGAACTGTTGGAAAGAGGGTTGGTAGATTATTTTTAATGTCAGTGCATGATAAAAGTAGGGATTTGTGATTTTATTTATTGTCAACCATAGTATAAATTTCTGGATAGTGTGTCTGGCTGTCATGTAAATACGATAGTAATTACGTGGCGGCATGTTAAAGGCGGTATGAAATTTATATTTCTGCTATTCGAAATGCATTAATTCATGTAAGTGCATTTTATTTTATCCTTGTTCTTATTTTGTAGAATGTTATGTTCATTGTTCTTTAGTATGAATTTCTGTCGTTATTGTTGTTTTTTTTAAATTGTTTGAAATTTATTTTATTTTTTTGTTGTTTAGTGTCTAGACTGTACAATTCGTAGATGTTTTTTAAAGTTAAACAGAACGCTGTGTACATGGTATTATTTTGAAATTTATTGTTGTTACGTTTATTTTATTAAAGCGAGGAGTGCGTAGATCGTAAATTCCTTCCTCGCCTAAATTGTGCAATTCGTAGAATTTTTTTTAAGTTTAAACAGGATGCTGTGTACATGGTACTCTTCGAAATTTATTGTTGTTATGTTAATTTATTAAAGCGAGGTCTGCGTAGTTTGTAGATTCATTCGTTGCCTACATTGTGTAATTCGTAGATGTTTTTTTAAGTTAAAACATGTCACTGTGTACATGGATTCTTGTCAAATATTTTTGGTTAGACACTTTACATTTTTGCTATCTAAATTTTTTGTTTTTGCTTCGGATTTTTAGCTAAATTGCGTGTTCAAAACGTAGTTTTTGCATGTGCGAAAACCACGTTTTTGGAGACATTTTAGGCTAAAAGTTCAAAATGTAGACAAAAAATTTAGATAGTAATATGGCAGCATGAAGTTTCTCGCCAAAAATATTTGGCGAGAAATTTGGCGACTTGAGGGCGCATATCAGAGTAGTTCCATATTTTTTTCTGGGGTGTAGGCTTCCTTGAAATTTTTTACAATCTTCAAAATTCCTAATTTTTAGTTTTTTAATGGGTTGTTCCTCTCTGCTTCATTGCCTAAAACCTTTTTATTTGCAAAATATAAAAACTTCAAAATTAAATTGAACCACTTTTTACTTAAAATTTTAGAGAAGTAGGGAGTTACAAATGTAGGTATCTGTGACCAATACAGGCTAGAGACATTTCTACTTTATTGGTGTCATTCCAAGATATACATCTTGTTTTTGAAGTTGGTTGATTTGGTCTTTTGCAAAACTTGTGATAAAATACTTACTGTTTATACAGCTATTTCATTGTTATTTAAAAGCATAAGTATTATATATATTTTTAATCCACTTATTCCTTTGTATAAAAATAAAAGCGAGGGGAAATCACAGTTGTGATCATAATAAAGCCAAAGCTGCTGGCTGCTCCATTAGTCAACTATTTTCATTTACTTCATCTCGAATATGAAGCATTGAAAGAACTGGAAGGGCATGAGACAACATCTTTGAAACAAGCTAATTTTAATATAGCATACTTTTAAATATATAGGAATAATAATAATAAAGAAATACAAACTGTCAAATATGTTTTGTGCAAAACCTAATTATCCATTAGGGAAAGAAATAAAAGACACAATACACTAATCCAAACTTCAGGTACTACTATAGTTTCTTTTAAAATTCCCAGTCTTAAAATTATTGATTAAAACGTAAAATATAAATTAATAATTCAAGTTTTGAAAAATAAAATGTAACTTAAAAAATTTCAGATCAATGTCATTCATAATTAGGGCAAAAGAAGTGACAGTGAAATTTAAACTGAATAATATTACCATGTATGAAGTTACGGTGATAAAATAAAATATATATTAGGTATAACATTTCAATTCGAAATTCTTACTACTGCAGATATAGTTTAGAGAATAATATACAGAGTATATACTCAAGGACTCGTAGAGATTGAAAAGATATCATTTAAAACCTTTTAACCTCTTTGTATGTTAACAGAGGGGAGGACATTGCTGTGGATCTCGTGGTGTGTGTGCTGAGAGGGTATCCACTTGGAGAAAGTGATCAACCACCCCTTGCTTTCCTGATACAGCCCAGCTGTAGAGAAAGCATGAAAAATTAATCCATCAATCACCTCGTTTCATTTTTGACTCTTTCCTGGGAGGGGGTTGAAAAAACATGAAGCGACGAATCTATCTCAGGGGGTGTAATGGTTCAGGTCAGGTTTAACCCCAATACATATGTGCTGTTGCTAATGTTTGAAGACACATTTCAAACTGGCAAGTCTTTCTCGGGGCAAACAGTGAAGTTGTTAAATTTAAAACATTTTAATGATTTTAATAATTTGGAATGCAATTTTCTAATGAAAAAATATCTACAGAAACATTTATATTACCTGTAACAGGAACGACAACTTGATTTCCTTGACTATCTTTAGATGCAGTTCGAAGACCAGAGAAAGATTCATATATCATATTCCTTACCTAAAAAAATAAACAATACTGTGAAAAATGCATTATACAATGTAACTTGTTTGTATACATATGTAAGTATACATGTATACAAGAATGCAAAATTAAAACTTTAATTTTTAATAATTTCTAAAGTTTCTCCTTTTAGATGGATAATAGATGGAAAGAAATAAAATGTAGGAAAACAAATACATATGCTTACAGCAACAAAAAAAAAAAAAAAAAAAAAAAACAGTCATTAGCATAAAATGACAGGATAAATTATAATTATAGCATAACATAATAAGATGTAATTCTTCAAACTTTAATAACTTGAGGATTTTGATAATCATAACAAATATTTCCTCACAAGTAAAATTTATTGAAAATTCTTAATTTTTCTCAGTATGTCAAATTTCTTCAATCAGAAACAAAAATGTAGAAATTTAATGAATTAAACTGAATTTTTGTTAATGATATAGAAATTTTTTTATACTCTACCAATTAAAAGTCAGGTATTATCCTCATAGACCACAATGGAACAAACCCCTTTTTTGCAGAGAATAATTTACTTCTTTTTTTGGGGGGGAAGAGGGAGTATTTAACTACACTTCTAACAACTGCAGTTTTTTCCTTTGAACTGAAAAGAAAATTTATATTTTTTTTTAAAGCATGTTAATTTTTAGTCCAAAGGGATTTGAATCCCGAAGGACTATTAGTTTCGTTTTGGCATTTTGCGTCGGACTCATAAATGTCGGTTCACTTTTCAAACTGTTGCCACAAAATGTTAGAGTCCTGCATTATATTTGAAGAAATTAAATAATGAAAAATCTGCATAAATGTATGTATATTTCTCGTATTGTGATAAAACAACGGTACATAGAGTCATCGAATTTTGAATAACGTAATCCTCCAACGAATATGAGCATGTGGAAGGCCGAATTGGAAATTTGAAATTTGTTTTATGATCGATTTCCTATTTTTTAAAACTTTGACGAATTTTTGATTAACAAACTCAAGGATTTCAAAGCGAGCAATGGCAACGTTGTGCAGAAAAAAACATTTTTATCTCCAGCGCGTGAGTCTCTGTATTGGAAATTCTAAAGATATGCTCGTTTTAAAACATTTTTTGCGATATTGCTGTTGAACTGGATCTTATGGTTTAAGTGCGAGGAACATGATATTTAATAAAGAAAGGTAACACACAAAATGTTAAAAAACGCCCCTTTGGACGTAATTTAAAATCTGAAACATTTCAGATTTTTTTTTTCTGAAGTAAGACTGATCTGTTAGATTACTCTCAAAATTGATTCAGTTTTATTCAAATATATGCTGATCTAAAATGACCTTTTAGGTAGTAAAGGACATATTGCCCTACTTTTGGGGCTTGGATAAATACCTTGCACAGACAGATGTTTGTAAATGCAATGTCTCCATAGATGACAGGCACTTAAAGCACTATCAGTCTAAAAGTCCTCTCAAGAAAACTGAAGGTAAAGAAAGATGTATATAAAACTTTTGGTTTCCATACTCCAGTGCTCTTAGGTAAAACTGATATGGACCGAGATAATAATAATCCTTGTGTGATCTGCTTTAATTAAATAACTCGGTTTACGAAAGCCATGCTTGAATTGATGAATAAGAACTTTCACATACAGTATACTAAATGCAATAAAATATAATATAAACTAAAAAATTAATTTGAAGCTACTTACAGACTTTCCATTGGACCCATTAGCCTTCTCCCGATCAGGGACATTTGGTTTAACAATAGGAGTACACTGCAAAGATATAAGATCCATGGTAAAGAAAGATTTATAATTACACACATACATATATATAAATGTAAACCTTTCAGGTAAAATGCAATCACAATAAAAATTAACATGTGAAAGAAACAGAAACCAAGTTTTTGGATGCTGTTAGAGAATTTTGTTTGACTGAATAAACAGAAATTTCTAAATAAGGTAAGTGGATATTTTCTTTGTGTAGTGCTAAGATGAATTTTCCTTTTTATGTTATTTCATTATTTTATTTAAAATGTAGTTTATTGAGGTTATATATTTATTGTTTGGCTCTAGTGTAGAATTGGCTGCTCCTTTGACGTTTTAAGTAAAAATAGATTGATGTGTACATGGACAAAGGGAATATGCAATGCCAAGTTTGAGCAATTCTCTGATGTTTTTTTCAAATGAAAACATGTTAATGTGTACACGGATACCGAGCCTGTGCAACTCTTTGCTTGTTATTTTGGCTTTGTGTAGTGGCGATTTTTGCGCCAAAAACTGCCGCTACACAAAGCCAAAATAAGAAATCAAAGAATTCCACAAACTCGGTGTCCATGTACTGCCCAAAATCGCGATTTTTGCCAAGCGCTATAAATGTGCCTAGAAATACATCTACTTTAAAGTAATGTTAAAAATTTTATAAGTGATGATAATAATAATAACAAAATGTTTTTAAAGAATTTATAAAAAATATTTAAAATAGAAATTTTTAAAATATTATTTTAGAAATTATTTAGAAATTTTTCAAATATTTAAAAATAGAAATTTTTAAAAAATGTGCAAATTATATTTGGATTAAACCTAAATTTGGAATTCTGAAATAATGAATCAAGAAAATTTAATAATAAAAAAAAAAAGAGATGTTAATAAATATATATCTAATTCAATTAAAATTCACACTGAGGAGCTAATTTTTTAAAAACTACTTGTCCAATTATTACAAAACATGGCACTATAGCATAGCTTCAGCTGTAGAATCGAAATATGGAAAAAAAAATTAGCATGTCATTTCAGAAAAAGTCATTTTGAGTGAAAATATCTATATTAGATGCTATATAAAAATCTAACACACAACCTAAGTCGCACTTTCGAGATGAAAAACACAAGTTGAATTTTGTCAATTGGCCCAGTAGAAAGGGAGATATAAAACTGTCTCCCCCCCTTTTTTTTTTGTTTTCTGCACAATCTACATACACATAAAAACTTTCAATGCTCAGTCAAAGGCTCGGGGTAGTCTGCTCCCTCCACACTGTACACCCCAGTCTGTAGGAGATCATTTTTGTGATAGCGGGCCATTGAAGATGCTTACATCAGAAAAACTATGCTCATATGCAGGAGAAAGTATTGAGTGACAGAATATTTAGAGCCCAGAAAAGCAGCAAGATTGAATCTATCCGTACAGTACAAATACGTTTTCTTGGCCACCTGGGCTTATCCAATGTATGTGAATTATCATAGCAAAAATGATGGCTAGATAATGTTGTGCTGATGTATTACAGTAAGAAATTAAGATAGTGGCTCAGTTGTTGGCATAAATGCCAACCAGAGCCAGGTAGTTAAGGTGAAAGATAACTGGCAATTTTTTTTTTTTTTTTCATTTCTAGGAAGTGTTTTCATGCATTTAAGATGAAAGTCATCATGTGAATATTTGCTGCAAAGCAAGTACCCAGTTTCTTATAACAATTCAAAAACTACAACTTGTGAATATAATTCCAAAACAACAATGTGGGTTTAAGGAGCTTGGCAACTTTTACAACTGAGATTTCACTCCTAAGTAATTATTACCTGTTCCTCTACGTGAAATCTGACTTTTGAAAAAAGAAATTTAATGATGATAATGGCTCAAAAACAGTAATTACAAACCGTTTGGAGGATTATGTTTTCGGCGATAAAGAGTTGCTCATTAAATTATGTAAAAAGCCTATCATGGTAAAGAGATCATACTGAAAAATATTTTTTTTTCTATTTACTAACTAAATGTTAAAGTATTTAAGCATATTACTGTAAATACCATACAGCATTTCGCGCTATTCACAGTTTCATACATGTGTAGCAGACATAAAGTTCTGCCAGTGAATGTGGGAAAGCTACTAATAGCACATAACACAAAACATATACATATTTTTTATCACTAAATATTTTACTGAATTTATTTTCTAAATGCTTTTTATCACTAACTACTTAAATTGAAGAATCTTCCTTTTTTTGTTTGCACTTCATAAAGAGAAAATTTAAATGAAAATAAAAATGATATTTCTTACCATGTAATGTAAAGACTTTTCTTCTTTGTTGGAATCATCAGGCACTTTGCTGGAAGGACTTTTATAGACAGCAGAAGGTTCAGCATATATGTGCTCTTCACTGTGACTTCTCTTTAAAGTTCCATAATGTTTAGGTGGACTTACTGTAGTAGGTGTTAAATCAACAAATATTTTAGATTGCTTTACTTTTTCTCTAATGCTGCTTGCAGTATTTGATAAGTTCTTGAAGTAGTTGAAAAATCCTTGAGTTTTATTTGAAATGATTTGCGATTTTGGAGTTGACTGACCTTTATCTCCTATTGCTGAATGTATTTCAGGTGCACTTAAAAGCCTTGGGTTTTTCAGAGATGAATTTGTTGACTCAGGTTCAAAACTGAATGAAGCTGACACCTGCCGAAGCTTGGTCCCTTTTGAAATTTCTGTTCTTAATTTCGAAAAATGTGCAGAATCAGAGACAAAATTATTTTCAGCGACAACACATTCAACAATATTTTCACTTACATGAGGCGTCTTATCTTTATCTTCATAATTAAAGCTTCTAGGAGGTTTGGCAGGTGGTGATGCTACATTTAATAATCTATTTGTTCCACTGGAATTAATTGTTTTACATTTGGAGTCAAGATTCAAGAGCAAGGATATGTCTGTTGAATTAATTGGAGTTTTCGGCATTCCATTATCACAGTCAGTTTCCTTTGACAATTCAAAAAGCTTCGTCCTTTCTTTAACGGAAATACGATTACTAGGGGTAGTATTATGTTCTGGATACTTATTTTCAGGAGGTATTCTAGCATCATAATTGGGAATTTTCGATTTTTCTAAATGCTTTCTTGTATCCGAGTTTGCAGACCGATTTTTCCGTAATGGAGCTACAGGAGTTGAAGATTTATCACAACTTACATTATTCTCATTGGTAGCACTTAGACTTTCAAATTTTTTGCGTATCTCTTTTATATTAACTTTGTTTTCCTTCGGAGGAGTACGACCTTCACGAGAGGATACGGAAGCCCTTTTATTCATAACGGCATTTTCAGTACATCAATACATACGATAAAAATAAAAAGGAATTCAAGGTTGACTATTTTTTAAATAGCAGTACAGAAAAATTACATTAGAGAAACAGGAATGCGAAAAAACACATTTCGTAAGCGTTATTTCCCAGACACACCTTGAATTCATTTCAAAATATATCAAGAACCTTAAAGTAACAAACACACTAAAATTGTATCCATTAAAAAATTCAATAATACAACAACACTCTCCTAGACATGTCCACTTACTATAAACAACAACATAACAGTTCTTCGGCTATGGGTATCGTTAAACAAATTTCGCGTATCAGCAGGTGAGGGACTTCCGGAATTCAATTTCCGTTATAGCAGCTATTGCCAAAATTATATTAATAAAATTGGCATCTAGCACAAGGAGGTTAGAATAGACCTCCTTGATCTAGCATTTGCCAAATTTGCAATTCGGGCATTATGAATGTAGAGCATCTTCTTATATGCCCAGAACCAAATAAAGGATCTCAACAACATGGTGAGATAAGTAAACTATTCTGGAATGCGAGAGCTTGAACTCCTTCTAAAGACTACATCTCTTACATTTCTTTATTTATTGTTTAAATTTTTAACTTTTTACTTTTGCTCCCATGCTCCATTATTCTGATTCTTACTTTAAATGCTTGTTCTTTTTTATTACATATCATTGTTCTTGTGTGACACTTGAGCTGCTTTATATGTTTGGATTAACAAAGCTATTGCCAAATTTCTCAACACAAAATGGATGTTAAATGAAAATAATAATAATAATAATAATAATAATAATAAATCTTTCACTTTATTTTAAGATTTTTTTTAATGTTTTGTTGTCAATAGAGGTATTCTTTTCATTGGTGCAACACCGGAAAGTGCGATCTTGAGCATCAACGTCCATCGAAAAAATTGTAACTTTCGAAATCTATGGCTTCGAAATAGATGTTGAAGTCCAGAGGAATAAAAGAAATGAGGTGTTATCAGGCTCACTGACTCAGCGCCTTGGCTGAGAGTGTCGACAGTAATACAGTAGACACCCGCAAATTCCACGTAACGCGGACTGAGAGTCGAGTTTCACGGAATAAGGAGTGACTTTTTCAGAACCCTTAATATTTAACTGTAAATTAATCTAGACATTTGTAGCACAATATTGGCCCCGTAAAGTTACAGCATACAATTAAATCAATGTTGATTTTTTTATGTCAAGTTCTAGCACAATAGGAGTCATAAAAAGAACAAATGCCCTAAGATAATTGTATAAAAAAACTTACATACAAAAATGATGAAAGATTATTAGTAGTTCTTGGTAGAAAAATATTATGTGATGGAAGATTGTCTCTCATTTCGTCACCGTGAAGCTTCATCCCGTAGAAACAAATTGTCCATACCAGATGCGCCTTACTCCTCCATGAAACTCCTCCATTCCTTCAGTCTTTCACTATGGATCATTATTTTAGCTTTTCCACTGCCTTCAATCTCTTCATTTTCTGATTCATCTTCATTTTTACCCACGTTGTCTTTGATCAGTGCAACTATTTCTGCATATCCTAAAATTTCACAATTTTCATCTTGCTCCACCCATTCTTCAACATCACCAGCAGTATCTTCTTGGCAACCTGGAATTTTCTTAAGTAAGTCAAGTATTTTACAATTTCCTGTCTCTTCTCTGCTTTCTTGAAATTCGTTTCCTGAATGGTGCAGCAACTTTCTCCAGGAACGAAACGAAGCTTATTCGTTCTATTTCACTCCAAGAATGAGCTATCCATCCAAGAACATCCAACATATCTATTTTCTTCAATTTCTGTATCCTATCACACCTTTATCAAGACCAGAAGAAATAATCACTCTCCGACCTTGTAGAGTGGTATTTGGTGCTTCTCCTAGTCCATTTTTACTAGAAGCAACTATAGCTTACAATCTAGAGAACGCTCCGGATGAAAGGAAAGCAACAGCTTGTCAACTCAAGAGCTTTTTATTGTGGACAACTGTCTTACAGAAAGTTTTTATTACGGCCTTAAGAAGATTCTTTGCTCGAAGAGGTAGAGTAAATATAATCTACACTAACAATGGTTCAAACTTCATTGGTTCAAGCAATGCTCTAAGAAATTTAGATTGGGAGAAGATCATGTCGTTTTCCACTATCAAGAAAATCAGATGAAATTTTAACCCTTCAACAGCCGCCTGGTGGGGAGGATGGTGGGAGCGCGGTTAGAATGTTAAAAGTGATGCTAAGAAGAATTTTGGGCACGAAAAGTCTTGACTATGAAGAATTGGAAACTATTCTAATATGTGACTGTGAAGCTACAATAAACTCTAGACCACTTACATATATTGAAGACAATTCTGAAGGTCTGAAGCCATTAACTCCCTCTTGTTTCTTACCAAGTATTCTTAGCACTGAAACAATTGATTTAGACGAAATCGACAGTAAAAGCCTAAATATAAGATTGCGTTTTGTACAAAAATTAAGGCAGGATTTAAGAATGAGATTTCGAAATGAGTATTTAGCAATGTTGATTCATAAAGGTAAGAGCCTCGAAGAATCTTTAGGAGTTGGAGATGTCGTTCTTTCAGAAACTGATGGCAAGTGTATCAACTGGCCTTTTGAAATCGTCATTGAAGTCTTTTCTGGAGCAGATGGTCACTCAAGAGTTGCCAGAGTGAGAACAGCTGATGGAGAGAAGTTGAGACCATTCCAAAGATTTTATCTGTTAGAAATCAACAGTTCGGAAAAGTTATCGTTCATTGCCCAAGATGCTCGAAGGGATGAAAGTGCCTCTACGCCCTGCAGCTAATGATTCAGATTCTAGTGAAGATGATGATTCATCAGCCAAAGTCCTAGATTTTTGTTACTAGAGCTGGTCGACGTTTTTGTTGCAATTTATAGGTATCCTACAAATTGCAAGATGGGAGGTTGTTTGAGTAATACCAGCTACAACTCAACTCTGTTTAAGTTTTATGTTTTAAAAAATAAGCTCTATCATTTTGGTAAGAATAACTGCTTCTAAATTTTTGTAAATGTCTGCAATTAAAGTGTATTTTCATATTAAATCCATAGTTAATTTCGAATCCTTTAAAAACACCCTTCCTCTATGGTTAGAACAAGAGATGAAAAGAAGTTTACGTCTGTATTTTTTCTTCGATGCCTCCTAAAACGCCCAATCCATTTGTTGATACACTGAAGTTACGGTAGGAGGGAGAAATTTGTCTCTTATATTTTCGTCTCGTAACGGTTCTGCATAAGGATGGGATGAAGCATTGTCTAGCATGAGAATCGATTTCCTTGGTAGTTTTTTTTAATGGAACGAACTACTGATGAAACCAATCATTGCTCCCTTAATCCATGCGTTTGACTGATTCCGGTACCAAACAGGAAGTTCACAGCTGGTTTCAGTCCCATTAGTGTACATTTTTACGTCTTTAAACGCACAGAGATTTTTTGATTTGCCTAAAGCACTACTTTGAGCTTATGGCTGCCTGTTGCATGGCTGCGTGCCAAGATTGTGACTCTCTCCTTGCTTCTTTTGTAGCCAGGGGCCGATTTTCCATCTCTGGATGCCAGCGTTTTCGGAAGTAGCATTAGAAAATTCAGACCGGTCTTATCACAATTTTAAATTTGATCTTCAGATATAGCTTCTTTTTCAATTAATTTGTGGAAATTATCTTTGAATATTGCAGCATTTTCCAAATTAGCTGATAGCTTTTCCCCACGAAAGTTTAACTGGCTGATGCCGTACCGCTTTTTCCATCTGTCGAGCCAGCCAGCACTAGCAGTAAATCCAGGCTCTCCTTGAAATTCAACATAAAGGTTTAGGATAAAAATTGGTCTTGAAGTAAAGCTCTTGTAGTCTTGTCTCTTGAAAAAATGGTCCTGAAGTGGGTGTTCTCTGTTCCTTTTGCAGCCTGAATCACAAATAAAGTGACTGGCTCACTGCACTTTTGATAGGTGCACCCTTCGATTCAACATTCGTGTTACAGTGGCAAGCGACAGTTCATTCTTTGGCAGAGTTAAAAACTTACTAGAATGCTTGCGGCTTTTTTTACTAGGCATTTTCAACTTTCTTTGCAAACATTGGTAAATATGCAAGTATAATACTTAAAACAGCCTACCGTTCTCACATTTTATAGCGCTTCCAGATGACTGTACTTTTACTTATGATCTGCATGATGCAGATACTATAATCCTACTGGAAGCTTCCTTCAGGATGTTACATTTTGGTTGGCCAGCAATGTATTTGATTGCAGCCCACTCAGTTATTTAGGACTAATCTGTTCACTCCCATAGCAGACAGAGTGACGTTCCTTGCAATGCCCGTGACCTGGGAGCGTTGAGCATTAGTGTTGACCCCAAAAGGTTTTGTAATTATGAACGTGAGAAAAGGATTACTATAAAATCTGCTTTTCATCGAAATACTTCAATTCCTCCACATATTACATTTTTTTAAAACCAGAAAGCTTCAATAATAAAGAAGTAAAAAGATTTAAAACTCAATGCATATTACATCCTATTCTCATACTTATATGCAAGTAGTCAAACAAGCATGTTTGAGTAATACCAGCTACAACTCAACTCTGTTTAAGTTTTATGTTTTTGAAAAATAAGCTCTATCGTTTCTGTAAGAATAAGTGCTTCTAAATTTTTTGGAAATATCTGCATTTAAAGTGTTTTTTCATATTAAATCCATAGTTATTTTCGAATCCGGAACAGCGTCAGTATAGCCCACCTTCAAAGTTTGGCGAATTTAGTTTGGCGCCAAAGCACATGAAATACGTTGTTTTGAAAAATGGTTGCCATCCAGATTTTCGACAAAACTCCGTGTTTAAAAAAATGGCGGCCATCTTGATTTCACTAGAAATCGTGGATAATAGAAATAAGTTTACGACTATTATACACGATTTTAAGAGAAAGAAATATTAAGAAATGATTAATAAAAATGATTAAGGTTAAAAGGATGTAATTTTAAAAACAATACCGGAAACCTTTAGCTATTTCACCTTTAATAAATAATTTGGTAAAAGCGTCGAATAGGCTGCATCAACAAAGTTGAGAAGGCGGAGCTGTGTGACGACCGTAAACGGGCGGGAATAAGCTTGTGACGTCACAATGTATTCTCCATGGACCTTATAAGAGATAGACTGACCCAGTGGGCGGGGCGCGCGTCACCGACATGTTGGCAAGAAAGAGTAGGGACGATCTGGTTTACTTTAACACTAAAACCTATGGCGTTTGTATCACATAACTCTTTTTAATTATTAAATGTGATACGTTGTATAGTGATGAGATTATGAAAGCCACAGTTTTTTTCAAATAGGATTTAATATATCTCATTAAAGCACTTTTTACTGCATTTCGCGCATTTTGTTCACGCGTAATTCTTGTACAAACATCTTTACTTTGGTAAAACACTAAATACTCTAAGCACAAAATTTATGAGCTTAATTTTGCTTAAAAATAAAGTAAAATTAAATGAGATTGATAGTACGCGATGCTTTGAAATAAATAAGGTAAAATTAAACAAGATCTGACAATTTTTTTAAATTTAATGAGCATTTTCAGGTAGTGATTTTCCAAACTAAACATTACAAAACGCATTTTAT